GATAAAACATACTACAGGTTAGGAACATCATGAACATAGACGGAATGAGGGTAAGGTATGTTTTATGGTTTTATCATTGACTTTATATCTACACGTAGATATTAAGTCAATGGTTTTATCTATGGCATGACTTGGTATGAGATACCTTCTCTGCAAGGACAGGTCACTTACTCGACAGATCATGGTCTATACGAGCTTTGTAAATAATATTATAAATAGTATATATAATAGAAGTTTCACTTGCACTACATCGAAAATATAAAACAAATGAAGAGGGTTCACTTGCTCTACAGATCATAGTGCCTATGAGCCTCGTGTCTTATATTTAAAAAAACGGTAGGAAGGTTCACTTACTCTACAGATCATAGTGACTATGAGCCACGAGCCTGCGGTAAAATCACGGCCGCCTTTAATTACAGGCCGCGGCCTGGTAGAATTGGCAACGTAGCAAGTGGTGTTGTTCAGCGACAGACGTCCCATAAGATAACATGGCAGACAGGTGACATCAGCTCATTAATTCGCATTTTATTGATTTAAATTTATGAACATGAATTTATTAAAATATTGAAAATAAAACCCACAGAATTGAAAACCGAAACAATATGAATTAAAATCTATATCTGTAAATTTTTAAGCAGAGTCAATATTGTCATAGTCCAGTAACCAATCTTTTGTAAATACACAAATATCATTAGCTGCTTCCAAACAAAAACAGCTGTTACAACACCACTTGCGACGTTGCCAGTTCGAAGACCGCGGCCTGTAGTTAAAGGCTGCCGTGGGTAAAATATTATATGGTTCACTTACACTAAAGCTCATTTAGCTACACGTTGCGCGGGTTGCATTCGTGAAACTCTAGGCGCTATGCCCGACATCGACTGATGCGGCCTACATAAGTGTATTGCTTGACCTCAATTATTTATCATCGCAAAATAAATATGTAGGCTTACGCGCGGGCAAATTTATTACATTTTTGTACTGAATACTTATAAAAATTGAGGGAGCGTGATTTTTATGTTAAATTTAATGAAACAGTATAGAATAAAACACATTTTGAGTAATATCAGGTTATATACTAGATTTTTTATTATTTTAAGATTGTTAAATAGATTGGTGGTATGGATTGTTTTACATTGTTTTCATAGATTCTTTATATATTGTTTATAGTTAGTTTTTATGAATAGTTTATTAGTATTAAGGACAAGAGTGTTTTGAAAAGCAGAAATATTGTATCTGAAAAACGCTTGCTAAATAAAGACATTATTATTATTATTATTATTTATATAATACACATTTGTATGATCCAGATAAGACAAACATCTTCTTGTAATTGTTCATTAAGCATTGTACTGTGAATAATTAAGTTTGTTACAAAATGGACGGATAAACTGTTTAAAAAATACAAATATACGTATTTGTCGAATCTGTACTTTTACGTACTACTCTATTGGTTTACGATAAACGCCTGCAACGATGCGCTGCAAGCCACGTGACGTGTTGCTAAATATCAAATATCAAAATATACTTTATGTTCGATGTTAGTAATTAAGTAATAATTATGAGAGAATAAAGTAGGGTCAAGTCTGCCTGTACTCTGCTTTGATTAGGAGTTCTAATTCATCTACACCCCACTCTATCAGACAGCCAGTGATGCATTTTTTGAAAATAGTAATCGATGGAGAATGAAACAAATGATAAGAATTACAACGGGAGATAACATTACGAAAATAAACTGTAGTGTAAGTGAGCCGTCTTTAATCCTGAATTACAAAATAATTCATACGCTTGGCTCATAGGCACTATGATCTGTAGAGTAAGTGAACCTTCCTACTGTATTTTTAAATATAAGACACGAGGCTCATAGGCACTATGATCTGTAGAGTGAGTGAACCTTCTATACTATTTACGAGGCTCGTATAGACTATGATCTGTAGAGTAAGTGAGCCACGTGTTTTAAGAATTACATATTTGGAGGCTCATAGTGTCTATGATTTATAGTGTAAGTGAACCCTAACCTCCTCTGCCAGGGGTCCGCACTCCGCAGGCCTTTTCTAACCCGAAGGCCGAAATAGGATACAGGCAGGCCATGGAATGAAGAAGAAGAACTCAAGATCCAGGAGGAGTGTCTTTAATTTGTGTTTACCTAGTATAGTTCTAACTAGTACTAGTGGAACTCGTCCTGTAGAACAAACATTGGCCTAAGGTTCAGTTGGTTTATAGTCAATATGGAACAATTATATACTTATACTGTAACTGTACTAGCTGTAGACCCGTCCTACAATTAATTGTACCACGGTCACCTTTAACTACAGGCCGCGGCCTGTTAGAATTGGCAACGTTGCACGTACAGTTGGATTTTTTTTAGCTAGAAGCAGTTGAGGTGTGGTGGAATATCATTGAAGATGAACCTACTTGGCTGTAGTGCAATCATGTGATCATACTGTCAAAATGTGAGAGGTTAAATCAAAACAAACTGGAATGTTGTCAATAATTATGGGCCATGTTTTATTACTTACGAAAGAATGCTCATTTGAGAAAGAATGTAATCATTTAGTATATTTCATTGACCAATTTATTATCCCAGTCACAGCAACCACATTATTCTATTAATGATCGACATTTATTTTGCAAGAAGATTCAATATTTTTATATTTGCTCATGTCAATTCATTATTTTCAAAGCAACCACAAACCATCACTTAAAATTTGGAGACAATTTATTTAATATCAACTTATTCATTATTGATTTTATTGATTGACATTATTGATTTTATTTTGTTGAATATATTGACAACATTCCAGTTTCTTTTGTTTTGTTTTGATTTAACCTAAAATTTTGACAGTATGATCACATGATTGCACTACAGCCAAATAGGTTCATCTTTAAAGATATTCCACCACACCTCAACTGCTTCTAGCTAAAAAATCCTACTGTAATATAGGTGTGAAAAAATTTGCATTTGCTGAGAATAAATTATAAGAAGTAAAAATCAGTATGTTATTTTTTCTTTACAAAAAGTGATAGCACTGCAAATTGAGAGATCTGGTTAAGGAAGCAGATTGGCATTGGTACCAGGCAGGTTTTGGCATTGCGATAAGGATATCAATTCTTATCTCTAAGACAATTATCCACATTGATATTTCTGTGTTTGTTTACTTGTTTATTTATTTGTGCCATATCCGTCCATCAGAGATGATTTATTTATATGTGTACAGCAATAGTTTTCATTTTTGATTCGAATAGGGCCAAACTGAGGTCGAGTGTGTTTTGCAATTTTTTGTGATAGCTATTTTTTACAACAAATGCAAGTGACATAGTTAACAGGAAGGATGACGAATAGAGGTCACATTCCAGTTGTGGTGGGGCGAGTGTAGTTACCTACCCGCAGAGACAGGCAAACAGCGGCTCGTCAACAACAATGCCCTCCGCCCCCTCGCCACTCCAATGGCAACAGCTGATCGTGGGGCCGGGTCGCTGTCAATGCGCCACGGGGCCGTCGACTGCACTTCTGATTATGAATGGACTGTTGTCGTCTACACAACGTTGAATGCTGGGAATCCCAAAGTGTGTAATGCATGCGCGTATTCACCATTCAAACTGTTGGTGGATATAGGTGGTCATCTGTTCATGAGACAAGGTGTCATAAACCTTTGCCAAAAGACTGTGCTGAAAGTGTGCTCACGTGAATCATTATTAAAAAAAAGTATGCCCCCGACATATATTACCATGGCATATAACTCTCAGGGCCATGAGAGCACAGGGTACTCGCACTATGAATTGGTCTTCGGACGTAAAATGGAGGTTCCTCTCAAAGCAGACTTGACAATAACTGACGAGACGGAAGTGTATGATAACCATATTGAGAGTAACGGGTGCGACACCCTTTTTTTTATTAATGATTCCTGTGAGCACACTATCAGCACAGTTTTTGATTCAGCCAGCTGTGATTCTGGCCCGCCCAAATACAATTTTTTAATCATAATTATTAGAAGAGCACGCTTTTTTAAAGCTGTTATAAAGAGCGCACTTTTTTGTATGTTTTTAAAAAAAGTGTGCTGGAATAGGCGGGCCAGCTTCACGTCGCTGACCATTGCACGATAATTTGTTTGTTTACTGATGATCGATCAGGTGTTCCATCCGCTATGACGAAATTCCCGCGCGTTATTATAAGCTATGCTACGTTTTGAAAATGGCAGAGGATATTCGCACGTCTGTTCCAAATGGTACCATATTACGTTCCAGTCTATCGTTCGTCATTACGTTCCAAATCCAGTTACTTTTATAACTGTTTAAGAACTGCATACAAAAAAACCTAGTATTAAGAACATACTAGCATAGGTTTATGAGTATTAGTACCATACCTCTAAACCTCATTAGCCGAAATGGATGGAATAAACGTCACGTTTTCAGCCAAGGCCCCACTAGAAAAAGCTCTCAGCCAGCAACTTAAATACTGATTAATGAAATGAGACTGTTCTAAACTTCATTATTGATGGTGTCAGTAAGATCCATGACGTAATAGTTAATTATAAAACTAAGACAAATTATAAAACTAATTTTATAATTAATTATAAAGTTAAACTGTCATACTCTAAACCAAACTAACCAGACTTGCTGATAATGAAAAAATCTTGAAGCTGCAGCACATTTGAGCTATGCCATTATAAGTTATGCCACATTTTAAGAAAACCGTTATAAGCTATGCTTCATTTCTACGATTATAAACTATGGAACAATTTAAATTTCCCATTATAAGCTATGTCATATTTTCAAGATAAGAAAGGAGAAGAGCTATGGAACAAATTCGCAGTTATAAGCTATGACATTTGACATTATAAGCTATGACATCGTACCGGTGAGACGCGGGACGGTCGTCTCATTTCAGTACCTGTACTGTACATGTACCTGAATTCTAGTCACCAGCTTTCTCTTTTTGTTTTTGTTTTTATGTAACCTCTGTGTCTTCTTGTCTGCTGGTGTCGTTGTGTTGTGTTGTGTTGTGTTGTTTTGTTGTTATTGTTTTGTTGTTTTGTTGTTTGTGCCTTGTGCCTTGCTTGTGGTGTCTAGGACGACAGAGGACGGGGTCGGTGTAGTGTGCTTTCTGTGATTATTATCTTGATTGTTTGTTCATGCAAATTTATTAATATCAAAACATATTAATTAGCAATGTTTACGTTCTTGGCTTGATTTTGAAGTTCATTAGTCAAGAGAATCTTGGCTTTTTGACAGCTGGATGGGTGCTATTCATTTTACTGTGCATCATTATCTAACATATCATACACTGAGAATTATTTTTGATCCCTTATAGACTTTATGATCGCTTTAGCGAAGTAACTTTCATGTAACACAATAGACATTAAAGTACAGTATTTTAGTGCCTTAAATCCCCTCCCAAAACAGTTTTAAGTTAGTCCCATTGATCTTGTTGGTTCTTACATTAATGACATTCAAGTTAACTTAGTGTAGTTTGGTGAGGTCCATCTAAGATTACTGGAAAAATGATACTGTAATTGGCCAGGGTCCAAACTGTGCTGACGGTTAAAACCATTTAAAAACAATCTACTAAGCTAGATTAAATTTTCTCAGTCCAAGCCTTAACTTACTCTAGCCTACTACCTTAGCCGAAGGCCTGAATATGCCCAGTTATGTCGCTGCAGGCTTAATCGGGGGTGCCATTGCCCTTGGATTCCTGATTTGGACGATTTGGACACAAACACCTCCCCAGATACATGAACATACTTTTAACCCTGGACCTGGCTATGACAGACCTCGAGACACCTGGACTGATGAGGACGATGAGTATGTCTTAAAACTAAGTTGAATGTCTTGTGGCTTTTATTCTAGCCTCAGTATTAAACTTAAGTAAAAAAAAAAAACTAACTTATGTTAATCTATGAAATTCTTTGGAAACAAGAAAGTTAAAACTGATACTGGTAAGTTAGGGCCTACAGTATCTTACATAGGCCTAGTATTTGCGGCAAATATTTGATTTATCTACAATGCGATATCATGATATTTAAAGATGTCTACTTACAGTATTTTTCACGCTGAATCCAAAAATGCAATCTGTTTTTGTTGGAGCGATTCATAAGTGGCTGTAAAACGAAGGTTTAGAATTACAAATCTATGGTTCATTGAGCTATACTGATGGTATGGCGTGGTCTGGATGGGTCGGTATGTGGACTGAGTGAGCAGGAGAGCAAACAGCTGTTAATGCTAGACTTAATGCTGAATGAAATCAATTCGTTTTGAAACCAAATAATCAGTTCTTATTTAGGCATGTGAGGTCGGGTATTATGCGGATTCGTGACTGTATTAAGTGTTTTGAAGTGAGGTTAGATTAGGAAGGTGAAGGTTAGGTTATATTTAATGAACCGTACATGACACCACCACGACACACCAAACTGATCCCCTGATCAAGTACTCTGACCTACTTGAAGCCACAGCCTTTTGTAGGTCAGGATACAACAAGTTATTGTTTAAACAACAACTCCCAGCCTACTCACATAACATTGCCAAACACTTCCTCTTCACTATAGGCTATTTGACCCCTCCTATTACTGTGCCACGGATAATCCGATGGATATATGTTAAGTTTCAAACCAGAGGTTTGGTTGTAACTTGAGAACAGTGTTAAAATAGGAACATCCTAACTGGTAGAGGGTGTGTTGTGTTGTGGGTCCTAGTGGTTATCGTCTCGGACTTCGGTTTTGGTGGAGCGGGCTAAACTCCTGGTACCTAACTTAAGCTATATCCACAAAATGTTAATGGGTTTGGACCGCTTTCCCTTGAAAGCTCTAAAACTAACTTCAACTTAAATTAAAAATGCCAGTGAGAAAGGAGAAAAAAACACTATCCCTGGGCCTATGAGACTTCTCAAATTATTTTGGAGTTCAGCAGTGGTCCAGAAAACCTCTTACTAAGTTAGCCTATTTATCCGTAAACCCAGAGGTTATGATATTAAGTTATAATGCAGATTTTTCCCTTTTGCACCTTTATCAGTCTGAGACGAGTTTAGTTGAATAGGCCTCTGCAATGGCATTGAAGTTTCATCGAAGATTGTAGGATTCACAAGTGTCGCCCAGTGACTATGGGTGGTGCCGGCATATTTTGTTTAATGATTCAAATTTTAAATGTAGCCTATCAGAATTTAAAAAATAACATTATGTAAATATTTTAGAGTATTGAGCTATGATTTTTGCCCAAGAGGTTGTAAATGGAGCCTTGGCCTGTTACAACGTTCTATAATTCATAATTAAGTGACATTATATAGGCTATTTACAATCAAATATAATCAAAAAATTCATTAAAAGATACGTATAACTATGCAAAAATTTCCGGGAGGAACCCTCGGACCCCTCTTTTTGATCAGACCTCCCGGTAACTTCGGCGCCACTGTCGTCCAGTGGAAATCCCTAAAAATATGCTGCTTCTTTGATTCTGTTGATATAGTTAAGATGGATGTAGTCTATACCCAAGTTGTTTTCTGTTATATCATTAACTAAAAATACATTGCCCATTTAGCTCAAGACGAAGGAGGCGAGAAAAAGGAGAATGTGCTATTTGCAAAGAACCCTTGAAAGGTCAAGCATGTAGAAATCTTCCATGTGAACACCTCTTCCATGCGTCTTGTATAACTCAGTGGTTTCGGGTGAGTATAATCATTTTCAGTTGAGCTTTATTAACACGTTCGCTGCTGACCGCTAGATGCCGGGACGGCGCCAGGAGCTGAACTAACGCTCGCCGCTGCGTAAACATTGCTGCGGATACACTGAATTACAGTAACTCTCTATTTTTTCTTATTCTCCACATTTGTCCCTCCTGCACTGGACCAAATATTTTTCTTAGGACTTTATTTTCAAACACCATGAGTCGGTTTTAATTTTTCTTGGACAATACCCATGTTTTACTACCATATAACAGAATAGGTTGAATTATTGTCTTAATATAAAAGGCAAAGCCCTCACTGACTGACTGACTCACTCACTCACTCACTCACTCACTCATCACTAATTCTCCCACTTCCCATTTACCTAGGAGGCTGAAATTCGGTACACCGGTTCTTTGGGCATTAAATAGGAAAACTAAGTAGTTTTTATTCTGATCGGGCTTTCAGGCTCCGCCCCAGTGGCTCTGGAGTTTCCCATGTTAACCTTATGATTTTTCATATTTAAAAGGAATTAATGAATCTTAACAGTTGTTTCAATTAAACAAGTTGGTTTTGTTCTATTATGTTCAATAGCATTAAAGTTACAAGGATTGCCAAAAGGGTGCACAGCACTATTATTTTTTTTATATTTATGACAACATCTAATTTGCAACCAAAAGGTGAGTGAGCGTAGCGAACGAACTTCAACCAGGACATGATTGAGCCATGCGAATACTAATGAAGTTAAACGGGGCAAAGCCCGCGGGTACAGCTAGTTGTCTTATATAACTGTATTTTGGTTCTGTGAGATAATACTTTAGATGAGATCAACTTCTTGCAGGCTCCCCAACACTTATTGCCATTTGATAACTTAGTTAGTTTGTCTTCGTCTTCTAAATTTCTACTATTTACAGTTACTCCTAAATACTTGAAACTTTCAGTACAATTTATAGTTAAGTTCTTTATCTGTATGATTCTGTTTCTATTGTTTGCTTGTCTTCCAAAGTTAATGGTTTTAGTTTTTTCTACATTTACTTGCAATCCTATTTTGTTTGCTTCTGTGATAAGTACTTCTGCCAAACTTACCAAGTTTTCAACTGTTTCTGACAAAATGACTACATCATCAGCAAATGCCAATATGTTTAGATCTACTCCTAGCTTAACACCCAATCCAAGTTCTTTTGTTTTCTGCAGGGCTTCTTCCAGTGCTAAGTTGAATAGTATGGGAGATATGCCATCTCCTTGTCTTACACCGGTGTTTATGGAAAACTCCTCAGATAGATCTCCTTCCACTCTCATTTTGGCTTTTGAGTATTTCATACACATTTCTGTTAGTTTAATTAATTTGTCTGGCAAACCATGCTTTTTTAAACTTTTCCCCAAGCTGATTCTGTCTATGCTGTCATATGCTTTTTTGAAATCTATAAATATTGCATTAACATTCTTGTTGAACTCCCAATATTTTGAAATTGCCTGCTTTAGAAGAAAAATCTGCTCTATCGTGGACCTCCCTTTCATAAATCCAGTTTGTTGTTATTCAATTAGCGTTTCTACATAGGGGTTTAGTTTTGAGACAAGGATTTTTGAAAGTATTTTATATGTATTATTTAATAAAGAAATTCCTCTGTACTTGCAGTTTTGATTGTCCCCGTTTTGTATTCTTGTGTAGAGGAATGATTGTTGCCGTTTTCCATTCAGTACTGTAGGTATATTTTCTTGTTGCCATATAGTTGTGATTAGGTTGTGGATTTCATTTTCCAATATGCTTCCTCCACTCTTGATTACTTCTGCTGTGATCCCATTTTCGCCCAGAGCTTTGTTGCATTTTAATTCTTTGATTGCCATTTTCACCTCTTCTAACGACGGTGGGTCTATATGAGGCTGTACATGATCGAATGTTGTATCTTCATCGGGAGTATTAACGACAATGTTCTTGCAGTTTAGCAGGCCATCAAAATAGTCTTTCCATATTCATAGTGTTTTCTCTTTTTCTGTGGTAAATTTTCCTTCTACATCCATTATGCCAAATGTTCTCGCTTTAAATCCTCCTTTGAAGAATCTTATAGTTCTATAAAAGTCTCTAGTGTTATTGGCTGTTCTATCTTCTTCTGCTTTTCTGAGTTTTTTATTTAAGTAATCTTTTTTACATCTTATAAGCGTTTGTTTGGTGATTCTGTTTGCTTCCTGATATTTTTGTCTTAGCTCTTCAAAATTTCTTAACCTTAGTTGGTCTTCTTCCCCATTTCTGGTTTGAAGCCACAATTTTTTTAGCTTCTTCCTCTCGGTTATCATTTTCTGACACTCTTCTGTAAACCATTGATTTCTCACTTTCTTTACTTTTTTTGCACACACTTCTTTCACACTATCTTGAATCTTCTTCCATTTTGATTCTATTATTTCTTGTTCTTGTTCCTGTTCTGCAACATCTTGTACTACTCTTCCCTCTTCTCCTCTATATAGAGCTTCAAATCTATTTTTTAGTTTAATTTTGAACTCTTCTTTAATTTCCTTCAGTTTTATTTTTTCTGTTGCTAGTATTTCTTTTTTTACAACTCCCCTTCTTTTAGTGTCTATTCTTTGCCTTACTTTTATAAGTACCATGTAATGGTCTGTTCCATTTTTGGCTCCCCTAACACTTCTTATATTTGTAACACTGCTGATGTGTCTGCTGTCCACCAGAACATGATCGATCTGATTTTCGGTTTTTCCGTCTGGTGACATCCAGGTTGCTTTATGAATGTCTTTTCTTTGAAACATTGTGCTACAAACCTTCATGTCCACTGCGCTTGCAAACGTGACCAGTCTTAGTCCATTTGTCATTTGCAGGTCATTTGTGTCTTCATCAGTGCCGGATTTAGGGTACTTGCGGCCCTAGGCCAAATTACTTGAGCGGCCCTCCCCCTGTGGTGGAAATTCCTTGCGATCGCGGAAGTAATCGTAAATATCTCCTATGGATCAAGGTGGCATCATCATCGACACCCGTGATTGTGGATGAAATCGTGGACATTTCTCCTAAACTAAGTCAAAGCCATCATAGGTATCCGTAACCGCGGCAAAATCTTTAACACCCCGCGGACTGCAACAAAGAGACATCATCCTCAACACTCTCGACCGTGGCATATTTCGTGAGCTGTGACCTTGAAGACATCATCACCGTCACCCGCGACCGCAGTAAAATCGTGAACATCTCCCGCGGGCCGCAATCACGGGGGCATCATCATTGACACTCGCGACCGTGACAAAATCGTAAACATCTCCCACGAAGCAGCAATCATGGGGACATCATCCTCGACACATGCGATCGCGGCAAAGTTGTGTTTAAAACATCTCCCGTGGACTGCAATTATAAGCAACTTTATCATTGTCACCTGCGGCCTTGCCAAAATCGTAAACATTCCCCTCGGGAAGCCATCAACAGGACATCTTTAGCGAAAGGTTATCATCTCCCGGGGGCGGCAATCACGGGTACATCACATCGAAGTATATTAAAAATATACTACGATGGTATATCATATCACCGGCACACGTGGCCACGGCTAAATCGTGAACATTTCCCGGGGCCGCAATCACGGGTACATCACATCGAAGTATATTAAAAATATACTTCGATAATACATCATCACCGGCACCCGCGGCCGTGGCAAAACCGTGAACATCGTTACGGTCCCTCGGTTCGCTGAGACATCATTATGGTCACCTGTGATCGCGGCAAACTGGTGGTTTAACATTTTTTTTATCTAAAAAAATGTTTTTCTAAATCCTCTGCGGCCCCCTCTTGCTTGCGGCCCTAGGCCGCGGCCTGATCGGCCTAGTGGTAAATCCGGCACTGGTCTTCATGTAAACTATTACTTCCTGCAATTTCTTTCCAAATATCTTCTTTTCCCACTTTTGCATTTGCATCCCCAATAACTAACTTGACATCATAGTATGGTAACCTGTTGAATTCCTCTTCTAAATTTTCATAAAATAAATCTTTTTCTTCATCTTCGGAGTCTTCTGTTGGTGCATATATACTTAACAGTGAAATATTCTTGAATATTCCTCTCAACCTAATATTGCATATTCTTTCATTCCTGCTTATCACACTTTCAGCTAATTTTCTATTTGCAGCAAAACCCACTCCTCCATAATGCCTTCCATCCACAGTCCCACTACAGTATATTACATACTGTTTGGTGTTGATTTTTCCTGCATATGGCCATTTTATTTCTTGAAGTGCTACAATATCCATTTCATAATTCTTGAACTCTTCTGCTAAAATGTCACAGCCACCTGGTACAGCAAGAGTTCTAGTATTCCATGATCCTATTCTCAAGTCCTTAGTGCGTATCCGATTTGTTATCCTTTTGGTATGTTCCTTTTCCGAGGCTTGGTAACTACGTTTCGTAACTGGTGTGCCGTGTGTATGTGCTCAATGCTCAACGGCACTGTTTAATTTGTTGCGTGGTTGGTACTACTGGCTGCGTCTGCTGGACGTTTCGTTCGGGTGACTTTGTGGCTCCCGTTTTCTCAGACTTTGGGTTTGAGATTGTTCCAAAACTACGGGGTTTTCTTCCGGAAGAGTTTTCTTTTGTGAACCCTGAAATTTTTACTTTCATAGATCCCTTTCACACAGCTCAGTATGGAGCATTTCTGCGAGTAGAGTTTTCATACCACGGGTAAGTTGAATTCGCCAGGCCTAGTCCTCGCTTATTTCATTTTGTTTCATTTTTCACTGTTTCACTATTGTTCAGAAATGTTTTATAGAGTCATTTTGATGTTTATTGTACTGTTTTCTGAGAGTTTCGAGTCCACTAGATAACACAATGTGCATGCCTCGTTGAATTAACTTGATCAGTACAAGTGATATTGGAAGTTGAGCCAATTTCCATGTTTAGGGTTAAAAGCTTTAATTATTGTCTTGGCTAGGGCAATGCCTATTCATTAATTGTTATTTATTGTTGTATTGTTATATTTTTCCTATATATTTGAATGAATAAATTTATATTTGTGTCCAGCCAGCT